AATGTGAAAACAGTTTATCCATTGCAATTTGCCATAACATGGGAAAGGGGCAGGAATTCAGAGATCCCAAATCATTTTCTGTTCTGTTCAAAACATGGCAACAATCCTACCATAACTGTGAACACGGCTTCCTGTGTCTCCTTTTTACCAACATGAACACTGCTGTTACTATAAACATGGCTTCCTGTGTCTGCTATTGACCAACATGATCTTGGGTGTGATCTTGGGTGTGACTATGTACATGGCTTCCTGTGTCTGCTATTGACCAACATGATCTTGGGTGTGACTATGTACATGGCTTCCTGTGTCTGCTATTGACCAACATGATCTTGGGTGTGACTATGTACATGGCTTCCTGTGTCTGCTATTGACCAACTGCTATTGACCAACATGATCTTGGGTGTGACTATGTACATGTACTATTGGCTTCCTCTGTCTGCTATTGACCAACATGATCTTGGGTGTGACTATGTACATGATCTTGGGTGTGACTATGTACATGGCTTCCTATGTCTGCTATTGACCAACATGATCTTGGGTGTGACTATGTACATGGTTTATGACATCATTCAAAAGAGATAAAATGCTATTACATATAAAGTTCTTAATAGAGCTCAAAGAAAATTCTGGAATCAAATAATTTTCAACAAGCTTGATCTCACAGGTTCAGGCCGGCTTGTGAAACACCCAGTTAGAATCTGCTGACACCACACAACAGCCTTACAACATGATACAATGTTGCAAACATATTTAAGTCTTAGTTTACCTTTTTCATATTTTAGTAATTCGAAAGATATGAAATTTTGCCACTTAGAAAACTGAAGTTTTGTTTTTTAGCATACAATAAGGTAAAAGAATATGATAAATCATCATTGTTGGAATTCTGATGACAGTTAAAATTTATTACACCTTACAACTGCTTTATACAAACATAATGTACACGTGAACGAAGCATGCCCAATTTGCACAAAACTTAATACACAACCATCCAATAGGACTTCACCAGCAGACAAATTACACAGCAGAAATTCTGCAAACACATCAGCACCATGAATCTGTCATTGATTTGTATTGGCTGTATTCAGACGAGAGGGTTCAGGAATAGATTACCGGTAGCATTGAGTCAATTTCTCACAAAGAGTCCATTTACCTTGAAAATCCTCTAAAAATAAAATAGTGATTGTTAGACACCTTGTACAACTAACTAGCATCCTGCGTTTTCAATAAGGACTTGAAACAGGAAATTGAAAACATTTTTCTTTTAGACTTAGTTTCATATTTGTCATGTTATCTTTTTCACATTTTGAATGTACTAGAACAATCATATTTTGCGCAATATTTGGTACATTCCAAAAAACAATATCCAGTTTCTCTGCCACAAGACTGCCACAAGAATCACACACAACTAAGACAGCATTTCCACCAGCTTCTAGGTTTCTAACTAACAAAATACAATATACTCAGATTGTAAGATTGATTCTTATTATTCATAGGCTTCATTTATGTCTATTAGATTTCACTGGTAATAGGTAGTGATATTCTTTGTCAATATTGTTGTACATACTTGGTATTTTCTGTGGTGATTGAGTGACCAAGTACACGCTGTCATTCTTTCCAGGCTCTTCCACTTTAATCAAAAGCAACAAAACTCTTTTCACATCTATTAGAAATCTCTGCTAAAAGCAGAGAAGATTGTTCAATTCCGACTAAAGCATGAGTATGTTTCTGAAACACCATCAAGTAGAGACAACCCCAGGTTAAGGGATAGCATATCCTGTCCAATCTGTGGCACCAATCATAAACAAATGCAAAGGCAATTGATAACCCAAACAAATACATATGGTACAAGTCAAAGACAACTGCATCAGATTCTGTTTGTCACTGATGCATCCATTCTGGAAATGTTCTTTACATGGCCACCATAAAACGTTTTGAAAATTTACGGAGGCCTTGAATGTTGTAAATCATGATGAAAAGTTTTCATAGATGTGAAGTATTTTTCATGCAATAAATAACCCAAGAATACCAAGAATTGCCAATATCAAGTATGTATATTGTAGGCCACAGAGTATGTGGCAGTTTCAGGATGTTATGTTTGTTGGAACATTAACTATGAACTACATAAGAAACAGACAATTGTCTGGTATATTTTCAAACCTCTACATGACTGAAACTGCAGTCTGTTAACACGTTTTGTCTAAGATACATATTTTTCAAATAAAACGAATTTATGAATAACTGTACAACTCTTTATGTAATTGTTTAACTAAAACTGAATGGATTACTTCAATCAATTTAATCCTATTCACACAATACTAGAAGAAACATGAATTCTATAATTGTTTTTGCTTGTTTAATAGACAGAACATTGATGCTAGATGTAAGTTCAACCCCACAATATTAATGAATTACTCAGTAAGCCTTTATAAATACATATTCCACAGTATATTTTTAAGCACTGAACAACTGATTCCTTTTGCACCAAATCATCTCAGCAGCAAGTTTTTCTGTTTTTATCCCATCTGGGACATCTAATGTTCCAATTATACATCTGTAAAAAGCAAAAGTTAAACTAAATGGATGTAAGTGACTCCGAGAGAGTGGAAACAACTGCTATTTTTACCCAACCCACACATTCATGTGGATACCAGTAGGACATTGAACTGATTTGTGTATAAGAGAAGGTAAGGTCATTTATACCACCAGTCCTATTAAATATGTTTGGCAGTTTCATATAGACATATAGTTGCCTTAGACAGGAATGATACTGAAGTCACCAATAAATGTCCTTTTTCACAAGATTCAAACCTTGTAACATCTCATTACCAAGCAATCCTGACATGACAACCACACAGAAACTGGCACAATAGGCCTATAACCAGATTGAAAAATACTTCACATGACATGCACTACTAGTAAGCTGAATTACTGAATTCTCAGTTTTCCAAGAAAAATCGTTATTTGTATTACCATTAGTTGGTACATGAGAATGTAGTGAATGCTTGACATTAAACCTGTGGCAAGTCAAATCTCCTACAGAGACGAATGATGAGGAGGACAGCACCCACTAGGAGCATTTGAGTGGCATGCTGGTATTACCTTCTGGCACCATAGACATCTGGAATATTTGCAAATTAATGATGCTTTCAGCTAAACTGTCACAACTGTCAACTGAATGGCATCAAATGTGTCGAGAATAATGCCCAAATGGAGTTTCACATCTGTATGTGCAATAAATTTCCACAAACAAGCCATGTTTCTCTTCATGTATATCATCATACAGTGCACATAACCATCAGTTGTGCTACAAGTTAAAGCATATATTTCCAGGCAGTAGCTGGTGTGCCTTTCATAAAGGAATTTGTTGATTAAGCATTTTCTTTATAGCTTCTTGAACATGACCTTGCAGGTGACAACACTATTTGACAGTAGAGTGAGTGAGTGAGTGAGTGAATATAGTTTTAGGCTGCCAAATAGTGAGAAACTGTCCATGTGTAAAAGTAAAATCCTAACAATAATGTGCAAGGCTCAATTTAAGGAAATGAAACCTACATGCAGATGCTTGATGGGCATTTGGAAGTTGGAAGGTAACGTAACAACGTATGGTATGGATTTACAATTTCTTTAATATTTACAACACAATGTTTCTGGGCTACTTCTTGCCCCTTCATCAGGGGAATTCCATTCCCCTGATGAAGGGGCAAGAAGTAAATTTCATCCCCCTGATGAAGGGGCAAGAAGTGAATTCCATTCCCCTGATGAAGGGGCAAGAAGTGAATTCAAATTTCCCTGATGAAGGGGCAAGAAGTGAATTCCATTCCCCTGATGAAGGGGCAAGAAGTGAATTCCATTCCCCTGATGAAGGGGCAAGAAGTGAATTCCATTCCCCTGATGAAGGGGCAAGAAGTGAATTCCATTCCCCTGATGAAGGGGCAAGAAGTGAATTCCATTCACCTGATGAAGGGGCAAGAAGTAAATTCCATTCACCTGATGAAGGGGCAAGAAGTAGGCCAGAAACACTGTGTTGTGTGCAATGTGGTATAAATATGAGGTTGCTTTTTTCAGTTTCAGGTTGCACCAGTGCAAGTTCTAAATGCTTAAATTGAGCCCTAATGTCAGTGACATTTTCAAAGGAATCATTCTTTATTGACAGTTGGTGTGTTTACCCAACTGCTGGATTCAGTTTTTTTCGAGAAAAAAGAAAGAACTACAAAGAGATGTTACAGAAAAAAGTATGAGAAATGATTTCATAACAATTAATAACATGAGAAGTGATTTCATGAGGTGAGGTGAAATTGGGTTTAATGTCGTGCTTGAGAATATTTCGCTCATATCACGACGTGCATGCGTGTGTATGTGTATGTGCGGCTGATTGTACTAGCCCAGACTTAAGCTGGTTTTATAGTGCTAGCTCACTGAGATACCATACCGCAGTGAAGCATGAATACCCCACTCAGACACATTATACTGACTCCGAGCCGACCAGTCCTTGTTGTACCCATTATTGCCGAGCGCCAGGCAGGGACCAACAAGTACCATATTTTAACGTCTTTTGGTATGACGCGGTCGGGGATCGAACCCGCGACCTTCCGCTCTCGGGCAGATGCTCTAACCACTACACCACGGAGGCGGTCAGTGATTTCACGAAAAATTAAAACAAACTCAAGAGTCCAGATTATTTACATATCACTGCCATATAGCTGGAATATTGCTGAGTGCAGCATTAAACAACACACACACAAACCATTGAACCCAACTTCCATGATACTGGCAAATCTCAAGGTTGACATTCTTAAAATACAAACTCATATTTATTGATGAGCAAAGAGCAACATACTTAATCAAGTTAGTGTTGAAACTATGCAGATTCACTTACACGTAATGACAAATCAGCATTAAACTTTAGTTAAATGTAACTACAAAATATCACAAGGTAGTTTGCCTATGTAAGTAGCAGTAGAAGTTGTCTCTGTTGTGATCAAGTGTGCAATTTATTTCAGACTGAGTGGCAGAAGGCAAGACAGAAGATTGCTGGATCCTAGCCTAGCACCGAGTGGTCTGTTCACCATGAGCACGCCCATTCCTGTAGCCAATGAGCATGCGTCAGCACTGCTGAACGTTGGGGGTGTGAATCTGACAAGCAGCGCTGTGGACGATGGCAGTGTGACGAAGGACTGGCAGCTTATTGATTCCTGGGTGAGTTCTGATACCGTAACCAGCCTTGCAGACCTGCTGCTGTCCGAACCTGACTTCAGGATGTCAGAGCAGCTCCATCGCTACCTTACTCCTGTGCTCATCATCATTGGAAACTTTAGTAATCTTTTGGCACTTCTTGTTTTGAGGAGAAAAAACTTGAGGCAACATTCAGCTTGTTTTTATATGTCTGCATACGCAATTGCAAACTTGTTGGTATTGAACTTGGTGTCTGGAGTAGCATGGTTGTGTTACATACTACAGAAGCCATACATAGCAACGCTGAGTGACTGGGGATGTGGACTGTGGACATTCATGGCCAATGTTATGATATACAGTGGGATATGGTTTGTGGTAGCAATGACTATTGACCGCTATGTTTTACTTTGCTATCCAAACAAGGCACTGACGATGTGTACAGTTTTCACAGCAAAGGTCTCCTCAGTGTTCATCATGATAGGTCTGGTTGTCATCAGTGTGCATGCAATGTGGACATACCAACTGCAGGAACATGGCTGCTTCATCCCCTACCACATGAAGGACCTGCATATTCTCATCTGGCCCTGGATGTCAGCCACTTTCTACTCCTATCTCCCACTACTGCTACTCTTCCACCTTAACATCTGCCTGATGGTATCACTGTGCCTAAAACGCCATCGCTTACGCCCGACTATTCAAGCCGATGGTGGTGATGACTTTATCGTCATCACTCTTATCATTTCCATGTCCTTCTTTGCACTGGCTGTTCCTGCAACCATCATCAACCTCATCGATATCCATGCTCCAAGCTCCTGGCTGAATGCAAAGCTTATTGCTCAGATAGAACTCACAAAGAAAGTTACAGGAATTCTCTCAGCAGCTAATCAGGCAGTACTGGGATATCTCCTCCTTATTTGCTCAAAGACTTTTCGCACAGAGTTCGCCAGATTTTTCACAGATCTGACCATAAAACGAAGGCCTAAAGTATATGAGATGAGAAATATGAGTGGAAACGATGATTCCAGTAGGATCCATGTCGAGTATGAAATCTGCAGCGATGGAACCCGGGCTATCACCACAACGCTATGAATGTCTATTGTCACAGCTCCTGTAACTTCAATGACAGCATTCAAGGCATTGTACAGTGTTGGAATGTGTCAAATATGTGGAATACAACCATGAGGTCTGTGATTGCATGGATGGCTTCCCAATACTGGACATAGGAAGTGTGATAAATTACCTGGTGTGACTGGATCAACAAGGTGTGTATCAATATGATAGCGGCAAGCATTATAAAGACATAATTGCTGGTGCTAAATCTGTAAGTTGAACACAAAAAGACTGAGGATCATCAAACCTCAACCTTAACTTGTCATGATTGTGTACAAAGAAGATCAATTAAATGCATGTTATGAAATTTAATGAAATGAGGACATCATTCATGCTTGAATCCATGTGGCAAACTAAATTATTTTCTGCAAATAATGATATACTGTATATAAGCATACAGAAATGCACAACCTAATGACAACACAAATTTCCCTCGTACATTTCAGTATGAGGAAGAAATAAAGTTACAGTTACAGATTATGCAACTGAAAATGAAGCTGAAACATGTAGGAGGGACATTTGTGTTGTGTCCTTACGTTGTGGATTTCTATATACATGTATGTACTACTGTATTGAAAAGGATCTCTCCCTTTCTCCAGCTCTCTCTGTATACACACAAACCTTGTTTGTCCTGTTAGGCTGACCATCAATGGGATTCTGTGTTCATTCTGTGATCATACACAACAGGAAACTAGGGCTATAAACCAATCAATGAACAACACCATTTATTTACTTAAGCCAATTGGTTCAATCAGTACTGAGGCAGAAACAACTCAATATCACTAATGTGTTCACTCACCCATGCCATTACAAGCCTAGACTTACTCAACAGAGTTCTAATGATCCATTTCTATCAATTGATTTTATATACATATCATAAAAATCGGCACTGACAGTTATATACAGTTACAAGTCAGTTCAACTTGAAAAACATTTCTTTCAATTTTTGTGTGGTTTTGCTGCAACATGTGATAGGCACACTAAACTCAAGCAGCAGGTCCAATAGACATGTAGCCCCAAGGAATCAATACGGAGGTGCCTTCCGCTCAACACTAATAACAAGGATTGCAATTCACTGATGCACTCCAACTAGAGTACTGAGTATATATCTTGTATTGTGTGGGAATTTGTCTATCAGTCTGTGTATTAAATAAATTCACATGTGTGATTCCGTGTCTTTCTCTACTTGTGTTGTATTCAATAACAATGATAAAACATATAATTCAGTAGTAATTGCAAAAACATCCACACAGCAGCAGTGTACCAACTGGGCTGTCTAGCATGTTTTCCTCTCCCCTGGTGACAACACCAAGGAACTGTAACATACGATTATGTACAGCTGATAAGAATGACCTCAACAAGACTGAAAGGGCAGCCATAGCTGTTGCTTAAATTATGAGTCCGTTCAATGTGTTGTCTTCTATATTTTCACACTGTATGATATAAGCTGTGGAACAGTATAACAACCTATGAGCTTTCAGAAAGGACTAGCATCATGTCTTTACCTAGTCTATAGGCCACATCTACAATCAGAAAGGACTAGCATCATGTCTTTACCTAGTCTATAGGTCACATCTACAATCAGATAGGACTAGCATCATGTCTTTACCTAGTCTATAGGTCACATCAACAATCAGATAAGACTAGCATCATGTCTTTACCTAGGCCACATCTACAATCAGATAGGACTAGCATCATGTCTTTACCTAGTCTATAGGTCACATCAACAATCAGATAGGACTAGCATCATGTCTTTACCTAGTCTATAGGTCACATCCACAATCAGATAGGACTAGCATCATGTCTTTACCTAGTCTATAGGTCACATCCACAATCAGATAGGACTAGCATCATGTCTTTACCTAGTCTATAGGTTACCTAGTCCATCCACAATCAGATAGGACTAGCATCATGTCTTTACCTAGTCTATAGGTCACATCCACAATCAGATAGGACTAGCATCATGTCTTTACCTAGTCTATAGGTCACATCCACAATCAGATAGGACTAGCATCATGTCTTTACCTAGTCTATAGGTCACATCCACAATCAGATAGGACTAGCATCATGTCTTTACCTAGTCTATAGGTCACATCCACAATCAGATAGTAGCATCCTTTACCTATAGGTCACATAGTCTATGTCTTTAGGTCACATCCACAATCAGATAGGACTAGCATCAATCACCAGCAGATAGGAAGCATCATGTCTTTACCTGAGTCTATAGGTCACATCACAATCAGATGGACTAGTCACATCCACCTACATCAGGTCTGTGAGAATCAGGTACATCCACTCATGACACAATCAATATCTGGGTACATCCACTCCTGACACAATCAGCAAGGTCTGTGAGAATCAGTCTCTGGGTACATCCACTCCTGACACAATCAGCAAGGTCTGTGAGAATCAGTCTCTGGGTACATCCACTCATGACACAATCAGCAAGGTCTTCTCTGGTCATCAAGTACAATCCATGCAAAGCAGCACTCTGTTCCACATTCTTATTACGTCTGATGCCAATATAGTAAGTGGAATCTTCAGAAATATGGACTGCCCCGATATTTACCGGCTATCAGCTCCCTGCAGTCTTTCACATAATAGGGCTTGATTGCTGTCTGTGTGAATATATGTGTGACCCCAAGGTGCTATTACAGACTGATCATAGCTGACACTCAAACTCACACATGCCTGAGAGTATGTTGCCTTTATCCATTAACTTTACAACCTCAATTACATATTTTCACCTAAAGCTAAGGAATATCTGGAAATGGCAGTGCTTTTCTCCCAACAGACTAGAGATGTAGAGCATCTACCCTCATAAATTACTGCATGATGATTTCATTAACAGACTGACTACCACAAACAGTACCATCAAATATAAGTACCATTTACAAATTGGAACACCTGGTGAAATCTTGAAGTACAACGTGAGATATACTTTTCTTAAATATTGACATAGCACTATAGCTCACCTGTGTAAGTACTCAACAATTTAAATTTCAACAAAATCACATAATTCTGTCAGCATTTTCAGGGTAATTTTGAAGATAAAGGACTTGACAAATATGCAATTAGCTTAAAAGTTCACAATGTTTCTTAATTTTCAACAATGTATGCAATATGCAATATTACATGAATTGTTGCATTATATAACAGTTAAATCCATGTTTTAGCTCTTGCTCTGTATATGACTTTTGTTTATATAACTGCACACAGAGTTAGTGTAATCACAAAAATATAAACTATTGAGTAAATTAATCCTTTAACAGGCAAGTTTTTTCAGTTCCAACAAGCATCTTCTGGTCATAGATAAATTGATAATGGAACTGCTGTGTGAGACATCGTAACAGATCACAGATCTATGACGCCACACAATATTACCAGAGGGACAAGTAAGATAATCACTGTGCTTCACATCTAGAACTAACTTATGTTAAAACGGTCTGATGAAACTGTCTTCAGTATTTTCTAGCTGTTGTCAAATTGAGCTTGTAAACTAAAAAATGTTTTTCATGCTTCCACACTCTTCCAAACATTTACTCATACCTGACATTAACACTGCAGTTTTAGGGTTTTACACTGATTACAAATAAATCAGCACCATGACCTTACTTTCTATCTTATAAATCTTTTATGAAAATGTGGAAATGGTCAATTTACCGTTTTTCCAATATGTCTGAGTGACCAATTTGGGACACAAGTTGTCTGAATGAACATTAATTCAAAATGCTAATTACCCTGTTGCCATGACTTATACATGTCTAGAATCACTTAATTGAGACATAAATCCCAACCATAACATATGTTACACTTAATTGCCATTATGTATAAGATATTAATTTTCAACTGTTAATCCCCATGGTATAGTATATTGCCTGTGAGACACCCTGAATGAGCTGTGCAACTGTCACTTCTCATTACTGACTGATGGCTATTGTTATACAGACATACAAGCCTTGGTCCAGAGACAAAATGAGAAAATTCTCATCAAGCTAGGGTCAGACAAGGTGCTCAAGAGCTCCAACACAACCACAATAATGAAGGTTGTATCTACTGCAAGCCCTTCACTCCCTGGCTGGGGAGAACCATACACTGACCCCAGGACACTAAACGACCTTCCGTGTAATACAATTTTCATTAAATGAGGTAATGATTTGGTATTAAACGACCGAAAGTGAGTTTGATACTAAATCTTTTATGGTGTTAAAAAAATGGTACTTCATAGAAGAGAGATTAGTATTCTGTTTATTACTTCGCCAAAGTAAATTTATAGAAAGTACCTACAGTGTGATGACTTTCAGTTTTCCGCGAGTCAAGCAAGGTCTAATACCATTGTGACAGATGTACTAGCATTGTGATGTCATAACTGTAAACCATTATAACGTCATATACGTCCAGCATCACGCGATGTTATTACACAATGAGTAATGCCATTGTAAATTTATTAAACAGTGATATAATATGATATACACAGTAATCAGGTAGATTGGATGTTACACAGTAATCAGGTAGATTGGATGTTACTCACTTATCAGGTATATTAGATCAGGTAAATTAGGTAAATTAAGTGTTACACAGTAATCAGGTACATAGGATGTTGCACAGTAATCAGGTAGATTGGAAGTTACACAGTAATCAGTTAAAGAGGATGTTACACAGTAATCAGGCAGACAGGATGTTTCACAGTAATCAGGTAGACAGGATGTTACACGGTAATTAGGTAGATTGGATGTTACACAGTAATCAGGTAGATTGGATGCTACACAGTAATTAGGTAGATAGGATGTTACACAGTAATCAAGTAGACAGGATGTTGCACAGTAAACAGGTAGATAGGATGTTACACAGTAAACAGGTAGATTGGATGCTACACAGTAAACAGGTAGATAGGATGTTACACAGTAATCAGGTAAATAGGATGTTGCACAGTAAACAGGTAGACAGGATGTTACACAGTAAACAGGTAGATAGGATGTTACACAGTAAACAGGTAGATTGGATGCTACACAGTAATTAGGTAGATAGGATGTTACACAGTAAACAGGTAGACAAGATGTTACACAGTAAACAGGTAGATAGGATGTTACACAGTAAACAGGTAGATAGGATGTTACACAGTAAACAGGTAGATTGGATGCTACACAGTAATTAGGTAGATAGGATGCTACATAGTAAACAGGTTCAATGAATACGACAGCATGATGAGATGAAACTGGATGTTGTACAGGAATCTCATAGTTTGGATGTTACATGCAAACTCTGCATATTCAATGACATACACAAGCTGGTGTACTGGATGTTGCACATGCCTTGTGTATTGCATGTGATACCATAACACAGTACATTACATGTTACAAAAAAAACTGGCAGAATGATTGTCACACACTAACTTGGCAGCCTCTATGTACAGCTGAGTGTGCTGCTGGGTCTAGGTGATGTCAAGTACAGCTGATTGTGCTGCTGGGCCTGGCTGATGTCAAGTACAGCTGATTGTGGTGCTGGGCTTGGGTGATGTCAAGTACAGCTGAGTGTGCTTCCGTATCTGGGTGATGTCAAGTACAGCTGAGTGTTCTGCTGGATCTGGGTGATGTTAAGTACAGCTGAGTGTGCTGCTGGGCCTGGCTGATGTCAAGTACAGCTGATTGTGCTGCTGGGCCTGGCTGATGTCAAGTACAGCTGAGTGTGCTGCTGGGCCTGGCTGATGTCAATGACAGCTGAGTGTGCTGCTGGATCTGGATGATGTCAAGGACAGCTGAGTGTGGTGCTGGGTATGGCTGATGTCAGTACAGCTGAGTGTGCTGCTGGGCCTGGCTGATGTCAATGACAGATGAGTGTGCTGCTGGATCTGGATGATGTCAAGTACAGCTGAGTGTGCTGCTGGGCCTGGTTGATGTCAAGTACAGCTGAGTGTGCTGCTGGATCTGGATGATGTCAGTACAGCTGAGTGTGCTACTGGGCCTGGCTGATGTCAATGACAGCTGAGTGTGCTGCTGGGCCTGGCTGATGTCAGTACAGCTGATTGTGCTGCTGGGCCTGGCTGATGTCAAGTACAGCTGATTGTGCTGCTGGGCCTGGCTGATGTCAGTACAGCTGATTGTAATGCTGGGCCTGGCTGATGTCAATGACAGCTGAGTGTGCTGCTGGGTCTGGGTGATGCCAGTACAGCTGAGTGTG